GTTCCTTTTATGTATGAAACATTAACTGAGCATTCAACTCATAACACCTCTTCTACGCTTACTTTTGTTTACGTTTACTTTTGTTGATCCCTTCAATTAACTTTTTTAACAGACAATGTTAATTGAACAGTGACGATTTGTATAGATTAGTATTACTATCATGTCTGTATGAACATGTATACTTTATCATATTTGGTAGCCTTGGTACATATCCCTCTTTCTAGCTTAAATTATTCAAGAAATCATTCACTTTCCTATATATATGTGCTTGAACCCTACTAATTGATACGACTCTTCACTCGCCTCTATATTCACTTGCATTAGTATTTCTGCTCGAATTCACTTGATGTGCTTGTGGCTTAGTGATTTGTGCTATTCAATAATATACTGTAGTTGGCGCTTCGTATTGCCTTCGAAATCTATAAACCGCTGGGATTTATTTAATAATGGTCATCAAGGCTATTGATATACGAAAGCTAAGAATTGTCTTGAAGATAATCCACTAAACACTACTTTCATTCATATCCGATGACGATTACTGTTAGTAAACGAACCCTGATATAATAGTTTCTGTCATGCTTTAAGTTCTACATTATTGTACTCATGATTATAAGTCATCATATTTCTCGTATCGTTTTCCTATTTAATAAACAAAAGGATTCCAGTTTATCGTAAATAAAAATTTGTTTGCAGAATTCTTTATCTTCAGGCGAACAGTTTGACTGAAATACAAAAAGCATTAACTGTCCTTAAAAATTATGTCCCTTGAGGCTATATTTAAAAAACACATACAATTAGATTTGTCATCCAAAATCGTCTAAATTGAAAGTATTTTCAGTTTCTACATAGTTACTTCTACGTAATGAAGGAAGACAGTAAGTTTATAGTTTAATAAGTAGGATCATTCAGCAAGAATAACTTACAGTATGGGTAGGATGTGACTTAAGTTTATAACAAGTTATACGTAACATCACCCATTCAATAAAACATAGGACAGTAAATCTACCAAGCTTGTAATTAGAAAGATATTCTGTTATAAGTGATGAAGATCTGTTTACTTCAGCTATAAAGCTAACAAGTTTATGTCGCTTTATTTCTGAGTGTAGAAAAAATCAGCACATAATATTGGTTGTATTCTCCGGCTCTATTAATTAACTAGATATTTCGCCTAAAGATGAAGCTGACAATAATTATCTTAACTATATTTCCAGTATACTGTTTTTATCTACTGGGTCAACATCTAATTAAATATAGCAGGAACTCTAATTTCTTAAAATAATTTATTCTTCCCATTTGACAATCCTATTCATTCTATGACCACGGATATACGGATGATCCGTTTATCTTTTCATCTGGAAAATTAAGCTCCAGGATTTTTCGTTTCAAGGCTATTATGATGGTGATAGAATTTAATTTTTTTTCTTCGCATTAATTGACCTAAATCATTGTCAATTTTATTAGATAGAATCATTTGATGAGTAATATTAAACGAATGATCATTAATTCACGGTATTCAATTTCAGGAAACGGTTAAATTCAAAAGCAATGTTTTGATTTGTTGACCAGTTAGAAACTCCTTTAAGTTAGATTTTAATTCATAATATAAATGATCATATTGAGTATATTGATCAATCAACGTTTCCATTGTATTTACATACCGACTGAACATGTATTTCTGTGTAGTGAATAGTTTTTTACAATTACATGTCAAGCTCTACTATTCGATATTTCTGTAATGGAAATAGATATAAACTTCTAGAAATTGAAAATTGCTTTTCATGGTCCATCTACCTTGTTCAGAATAATCTTACAGATATCAGACAAACAGCTAAATTATTTATGCACAATATGATTTTTTAGGAAGTAAACAGATATTTTGTACACAATGATCCTGTCTTCGAATAATCTTTATTTTTTCCATCCATTTAATGTGGTAGAAGGAAAGGAAAATGTAGGATTGTGAAAATTATTTTTATAAGAATTAGTCTATATATTTTGCTGTGTATTAATTAAACAAGTGGATTAGTCAAAATTGTAAGCTACTTTTCCCCCATAGAATTTGTCACGATGTACTTTTATGTTCACAGATTACAGTTAATTGACTGATATATTATCTAGGTGCACTCAGTCGTTCTACACGATGCATAAAATATGACGTGTAACACAGGATAATTATTGAATAGTGGCCTTTAGCATATGGAATGAGATAAACATAATATTCTGCTCTCCGACGACGCTTTTAATCTTCCTACAGTTGTCCTGGAGACTTATTGGCATGAACAAGCAGGTTTGTAGAGGGATAACATTTGATGTAATGAGCATTTTAATAATAAATCATATCACTACTTAGTCAAAAACATGATCTAGTTTCAGAAAAACAAGAGGTAACACAGTAAGTAAATTACTTTACTGATTTTTCTTTACGCTCCGTTAGTCAGAAAAAATATCGAGATAGTTTTACAAGGTTCGGTCTGCTTTTTGTAATCCGCGCCTCATGTAAGATATACGACTGTCCATTGGGAAATGAACACGCTCCGAAGCACGAAGTTCTATTTTGTGGGTGGTATATGGGCAATTGGCGACTGAAAATACAGGTAGGTTATAAGGAGTGGGATTGATGGGAGAACTAATATTATTCCAGTAAATGACAAGTGTTCTACAGTACACTACGTAAGATTTACTACATAGATAAAAACAGTATTCCAATGTCCATTCACTAAATTACATTTTTATTGATCTACGTAACCGTGAAAATATTTCATTTTTAAGATTTACCTAAGTCCTAACGTAATGCGTAATGACATTCTACATTCAAAAGTTTATGCCCTAACGGCTTGTAAATACGCCTAAAATATTTCAACCGAAACTTTCAAACAAAACTGGCTTAGAATGAACATTCATCAAAAACGGCTAGTGTGAATTCAGTAGTGAATATCAACAACAGGAAAATATGAACAGTTAAAATTATTTGTCGATGCCTATTAACACGGTGGCATAATATACTATTGGACTACAGTAAAGTTAACCTGTTAATTCTTTTCACTAAATATTGAAACTGAATAACAAGATAAAAACTTAAACACAATTGGAATAGAGAAACTGGGAAGATTATGATAACCAAGCACAATAGATCCATAACACTTTTGTAATTTAAGGTATAGTATTATATTTTTTTTAAAAACAAAAAGAATGTTAAAGGAAAACTATAGACACATACACATGTTAGATAACGATTATTCATTACTACTGACATTAATACGCATTCACTTTATTTGCTATAAAGTCTTCCTTCTAATTTATTTTAACAATAAATATAATTCCTTATTGTATGTAAATATAGTTTGTTAACAAAAAGAAATTTAGTTCATCTAAAACACATCAACATAATAATATTGCAATTGTTTGATGCTTTTACAGTTAATTTCATTGATAAATTCTAATACATTGGAGAAACAGAGAAAAAGGTCCGAGAAAAATGTCCTATATATAGATTTCAAAAATGAATGAATCTACAAATACTACACACATACACATAAAATATCCATATTATAATAAGGAAACTGGTATCTGTCAATGTTTTCTCAAAGAAAAGAATAACAGTGTATAATAATTTTCAAAATTATCATTCAATATAAAGATGTATCTATGTAATTTTTATTCATCATTTCATTTGTGATTCTTTTTTTTCCTCTTAATTGTATCGTACAATAATAATTTAGAAATTTATACGATAATCAAACTGCTTATTACTAACGTTTAAAAATTTGTAATTATTAATAATTTCAAAGAAGTTACAACTCATTCTCATTTTTCTGTTATATATATATATATATATATATATATATATATATATTCGTAGAGAGGTAGGGTATTATTACCATAATAAGTAGCATTAACAGTATTAGGGGAAGTTCTGTGGTTGTTTTCAATTAACTAGCTACAATTAAACAATTCTATTGTTATTTAATTATAATAAATAATAAAACAATATATGATCGAAAAGAAGTCAACGAACCATACAAAAAAAACCATCAGTACAATGTAACGTGGAAAAATAGTAATAATAAACACATTTTACAAACGAGTACAAAGTATACACATATGAAAGAACAACGAAACGAAGATTGAATAGAGAAAAAAACGGAAGAATTTACTTTTGGTTTCTTCCAACTAATCAAATGCAATTATAATGTATGTGTGTGAGAGATAGAGAGAAATCCACTAATTTGCGAGCATATACTAATAGAAAAGCCTTACTCATAGACTTATGACATTATGATAATTAGATTTCATTAATTTACAGTAAAATTATACACAAGTTCCAGATTACAAGTGAACGGAGCAAAAATTTATTAAATGATGATACAGTCATACATTATATTTGACAAAAGTGAAAAAAAGTGAAATCAAACAACACAATACAAACAAAGTAGTGAATAATACAGCAGAAAATGTAATACAAATTGATCATTTCATACCAATAAAAAGGAATGACTACAATTTATCATGAATGAATGTGTAATCTGTTCAAGTTTTACATTACTAGAAAATCAAAATTAAACTGATCAGAGAAATAGAAAAAAAATGATAGCAGGATGTTCGAGTGAAAAAAAGGATACAACAATGGAACAAAATGTTAACTGAGTGAAATTAATCTGAAGTTTACTTCAACTACAATTTAAAATAACAGATCTTGAATGAGCTAAGTTCTGAAAAAAATGTTATTTTTTTTTAAAAAAAAAGAGAGTGAGTGCTACTGAAATATCTATTATAACAATGTTACATTTATGAACAGGTGAAGTGAGATGTAAAAAATAAAATAGCGTCAATTAAGCCGTTTCATTACGTCTAAAGAAGTAACTGTAACAATGCAAGCAGCTAAACTGGAAAAATTCAATTAATGCATAGTTCATTGGTACAGGTAGACTGAAAAAGCTTTACTACAACTCCAACGTTGTGCTGTAACAGACAAGGTAGTTTGCAATTAAACAAACAAACTACTATGCTCTAGACGATGCCCCATCATGATTTCCCAAATGCGGACGTCCATTTACACAATCATCAACATCTTCAACATCATGGCCATCACTATCCTCCGGAGCAAGCTCGTCTAACGCTTCTAAGAAGCGTAGAGAATCAGCAAAGCCAAGACCTAGTTCAGATCGTAAACAGTGAGTGAAGTACTCGGGAGCCCAAATGCGTAAACCAGCTAACTGGGACAATAAAACACCATCTATGCCACCAGCTATTTGAGAAGGTACATGGCCCAATCCGCGAAATTTCAACCATGAAGCAACCTTGCAGGTTGACCAATTACGAACTGAAGGACGAATAGCATGACGCCAGGCATTAGTCGCCAAAGGTCGGGATGTAATATTCGATTGCACAGGAATCATGTTTTGATTGCAAATCTTCTGTAATCCTATCTGATTACTTAGATGAATTGGATCTTCACGTTTAATGCCTGGAGACGGACCCAGAGAACCCCGACTACTAACTGCGGGGCTTGCATTGACGTGATTCAACGTTACATCTGAATTGGGTATCCCGGGAATCCAGTATCGCCTGAAGTTGTTAAGTGTTTTTTGGCATCAATGGATAACTGATGTTGTGCTGCAGCAGCCTCCGCAGCTTCTTTGCCTCTCCATAAAATTCTTTTACTTGGCTAATTAAAGCATCATAGCTTGCTTCTGGATCACGTTTACCATTGAAATCAATAGGATGTTGAGAAATGAGACGATTCAGCCAACCAGTCAACTTAAATTTTGGTTGCAGTATAACAGGAATAATAGGTTTTGAGTATACGCTTGTATCAAAACTAGAAAAATGTTCCACTTCCCATCGACAACCAGGACTTAAGCGAAATGAATCACTTAAAAATGCGATCATAACTGAGGCTTGTTCAATAGATTCAACCCACTGAGCATGATTTGTAGCATTAGCCGCACACATAGTAAGTCCAGTTGCTGAAGCATCTACTGATGGTATTACTTCAGGACCAAAAGGAATACTATTAAGCATAATACCAGCATCTCTTAAACGATCAGCCACTCGGTTAACAGCAATACGGTTAGATGGTGAGAAACATAATAATACAGGACCACACTCTGTAGGTTCATTTTTAGAATTTTTCGAAATACAAGTATTCAATTGCCAATTAATAGATTCGATTGCACGTGAAAGAGATTTATAAGTTTGTAAAGCAACTGCATGATTTGCCATAGTGTCACTTAACCAACTTGTTAATTGTATCTGTAAAACTCCTGTGCAAATGGATGAATCAAAAACTGTATTCCATAAGATACGAACTGCTTCTTCTGCTTCTCTAACAGAAACAGGACTGGAATTAGGAAGTAATGCAGTTTCAATTAATTCTTTCAGTAAACTTAGACATGTCATACTATGCTCTGTGTTTTGATTATTATTTGTACCAGCAATCAAATTCACATTAACAGGTGATGACAATAAATTCGCCTTAACGGGATCAAGAACAGATAAAGCGGCAACAGAGGATAACAATTCAAGCACTTGGAATCCATGACATCTTCGTTTCTCAGAAACACGAGCTGATGTGACATAGCCAAATAAAATTCTTAACAAATCAATACCACCATTTGATATGTCAGTAATTAAATGAATTTCTGACTCAGTTATAATGTGTGCTAAACAAAGTGTGGAAACACAGCGTAGAAATTCTTCTTCACGTTGAGCTAAATGTAATAGCGCTTGTCGAACTGATTCAGATGCAAAATAATGTGTATTACCTGGAACACGAGCTATATTATGTATGATAGATAAACTAGCTTTAATTAAATAATATACATTTTTACTACTTAAATTCTCTAAATATGGTTGATGTCCAATATTTAAATTAAGTAGATTTGGTAGACCAGCAATTGCTAAAGCAGTGGCAAATTCCGGCCAAATATCAGAAAAATTCCATGTTGTATTATAGAAATAAAATGAAGAGAACCAAATATCATCATTCTTGAACACACCCATATTATTCAATTTTTTCATCATTTTCGACGCAAAGGCAGGATAATCACAATTAGTTAAATACTGAGCTAATTCCAAACGATACGTATGACAATCAAAATATGATCGACTTAGTTGTTTACCAGTTTCATACATTGAACGTAGATCTGTCATATCATCTAAACTACGAAATACTTCCATAATTTGATCGATAAAGTTTTTTGCTTCATCTAAATTGAAACCTTTACGACATTGTGGGATTTCTATAGGACGTTTAGAAATCGGCTCTGGATGATCCATTCTTTTGTTTTGATGAATTTATACGTATAAATATAATTACATACAATAGAAGTACACAGAAAATATTATTCAGTTGTGCACATTGACAAACAATCAGACGAAAATTGAAACGAGCGTAAATTCAATGAATAATTTGAATACTTGCTAAAAGATTGGAACTACAAATTTTCACGAATCCACCCTTGGATATTTTCGACGTTTTAATGTCTTAAAATTACTGACTAGCTGTATTGAAAGTTTTCAAGCTAAAAAAATAGAGAAAAAAGAATCAAGTATATATTTTGCACAATACAGATAGAGTCTGCATGCATAAAGCATTGATATCTTAAAATTGAACAATTTAATATTACGATAATACAATGAGAAGATGTCGTTTATTAACTGGAAAAAGAATACTGGACTAACGGAAATGAACTCCGGGAGGCTGAGGACAGACCTACAGAAATGTCCAGAAAAACATCATACCATCATAATAGGAAACCTAAATGCCAAAGTTGGGTTGAACGACATTGGGTATGAATGTATTACAAAGACTGAGAGGGAGAAACGAGGATCGTGCTAAACTAGATTATAGCCAAAGGAGGCAGCAGTTTAACCCACAAACGCATACACAAAACCCTAAAGCTTTCACCAAAATTCAATACGGGAAAGCAAAATGATCAAACGTGGAACAAAAAATATTTTGAGGGTCCATGAAAGATGTAAAAACAAACAGAGGAGCTGATATAAATTCCGATTATCGCCTGGTGATGATCAAGTTAGAACTGAAGTGAAGAAGCATTGGACAAGCAACACTACAGGAGGTAAATATAGACTTCTTTGAAGATGTAAGTTTATGATAGCTTCTAGAAATAATTTCCAAGTCTTATAGAACCTACAAGAAGAAGAGGAAACCACTATGGAGAACAATCAGTAACTGATTGGAGAAACAATAACTTCAACATGCCAGGGTAGAATACTTTGAAGAACTCTTCAATAGATTAGCGCTACCGAATATGGAAGTAGAACACACACATCTTCCCATAAATTATACCCCACTAACAGTAGTAGTCAGCAATGCGATCAAACAAATCAAAAGTAGCAAGAGAGCACTAACGGACTGATGTCAGCATTTTCAACAACGCTAAACCAGTATTATTGTACGATGCTTAAATCTAAAGAACCATTAGGAAAATAGTTTATAAACCAGCTGTCCTTACGAGATACACCAGATTTAACCGGCCATAAATTGTCAGCAGAGAGAAAACCAGTTGTCAGTTGATGAGAGAATTAACAAAAGACGCTGCAGGTCGTTAGGACTTATTTTGCGGAAATCATTAAATTGCATTACAAGATAATTCCTAAATTTGAATCCTCAAGGCAAAAGAGGGAGGCTAATGAACATATTGAGCCTGGAATTGGAGATAGATATGTGATTACATGTTCCAGCAGTAGTTACAGGCTTAGGTACTTAGATTAACAGAAATCGCACGTGTTTCGAACAACAATATGACATCAAAGATAGTTTATAACAATAAGTAGCATATTAAAAAAATTAAGTGTAGTAGTAGTAGTAGTGTGAAGTAAAAGTAAGTCACTGTATTACGATTCAGAATAATGCAACTATATATATGTAGACGAATTTAGAATTCACTATGACCTAAAAATTGCTTTTCGATGAGTATCTTATATTAGTTTTTATTATAGAAAGATCTGTGCGTCTTCATGCTTCGAACAATAATTCTTCTCAATAAATATTATCAAGTGAATGAACAGATAGATTTCGCTTGTTTTTACTTTCCAAGCAGAACAATAAAAGCCCCAATAATAAATTGCGTATTAAAAAATTCAAACTCAACTTATTAAAAGTAAAAACTTATATCCCTAAAAGATTAATTCTGCTTTGTTAAAACAACAGCCTTTATCGTTTACAGATAAACTAACACTGGAAACAGATAAATTGAGCTTAGGAACGAAGAAATAACGAGTGAAAATTGAAACGATGTGTGCTGTTTATGAAGACAGAAAAACCCGTATTTAGAAAACTACAAACCAGTTTAGCCAAACACAATACATAATTATAAATCTACTCGGATAGATCGCTTTCACATCATTGAAATATACATTAGAAATTTCATACCTTCCCATTATCGTATATAAAAATTGCATAAAATTGAAAAAGGAAAAAATAACCCCATTTTGTTTTTCGTATCAAACAGATTTGGAGAAGCGGAAACACAAATTCATCCATACACCGATTACTACACGCAACTACAAATAATCGGTTACTTACTCCAAAAGTATGTTCAGTACAAGAACCCGTGCACATGAGTACAGATCATTTTCGTTAGGGACGAAATTGAGATATTTCATACGGTTCCTAGATTGATAGTTAGTGTGCTTCACTGAACGATTTCAAAATCACCTCCAAACTTAGATTGTATCACTGATATCAATAGCATGATATTAGTTCGATCTTTATGACTATTGATTATTTATTCACACTGAATCCGTCCACACTATTTGTCGTATAATATTCCACCGTTACAACAATTAGATTATTTGTTATAGACGATTGATAGACACATAGATTTTTATACCTTATTTGAACAAATAAATATTGATACAAAGTGACACCGAATACATATGAGCCACACAAGTCACTTGATTTGTGTGTGGGCTGTGATACTAAGCGGATGCAATTGCCCAGATAATCTCGAACTTTATTCATCACCGCTGGTGTAAAAAAGATTCTATACTGATGTATAATGAAATTAAGCGAACAAGACTATTATTATTAATTTGTACCAACTAGTAGCCCGACTAAATCTCTGAATAATGCTCAAAATAAGGTTATTCGAAACGATGTATCATAGTGTTTGCCTATATCAAACAGTACGAAAAAGTTATCAATACTATACTACCAAGAAAGACTAAAGAAACACACACAAAGGAACAAATAATAAACTTCGAGTTATGGATAGAATAAGAGTGAATAAATAAACTAGGCACCAAAATTCTGACAGCAATCAAACAATTATTTAAGACGATATAACAATGAACAGAAGACAGGTCAATATCACTAAATAACGATCCTTCCTTTACAAAGAATTAATCCACAAGACAGGAAGAAGCCATTCATAAGTAAAGTTAATTATAGGCAGCGGAAATTCTCAACTTAAGTTATCCTGTAAATCAATAAACTCTTAGAAACTGACACAAATTTAAAAATTTCTCGAATGGATATTCATTAATGAAACGAATGGATAAAATTTTAAATTTATAATTATATATATGTGTACCAAAAGAAAGCAATATTTCATCCAGAAATAAACATCATTCTTTTCTATCCACAATTGATTAGAAGATAAACACTAATAAAAATAACAACAAATAGATAACAAGATATCGGTGAAGAGAACAAACAAACAAAAGAGAAAAGAACAAACTCATTCTTAGTTAGTAAATATGTTAAACAGAGAATTCAATAGTTAGTCAGTTAGTTAGCAAGTTTCGTTAAAGCACATTATATTTGAAAATGGATATGACACAGACTAATTACTTTTTCTTTTACTTTAATAAAGAACTGAGAGAGGAAAAGATAAAAATCACCAAGGAGAGGGAAGAAAAGGAAATTACTAAGTTAATTGCTTCTGGTAATGTTAAGAGTATATATATATATATGAGCGCAAGTCAATAGAACTAAAGAGAAAGAGAGGATAACAAATTTTGAAAAAAAAGAATGTGATTGAAGAAAATGAAACCAGAATTTAAAATGCCACCGTAGCAGTGAAATAAATCAAATAACTATTTACTCACATTTCAATGATTTCAACAACGATAATAAAAGTATCACATCATTCAACCTAGAACAGATAGCTAACTATCGATTGTAAATATTTAACCATGAATTAGATTCACAAAACTAGTGGGTAAAACAGAATCAACACTTTAACTACAATAAAAGGTAATGAGAAAAGGACTGCCTCAGTCTGTTGGTAAATAACCCAAACCGATATTGTATAAACAATTCTGAATGCAAACGCTAATACACGAACTGATTCCCATGAGACCATTATTAATTTATCTTTAAACTACTCAGCAGTTCCGTAACTAAATTTAAGTACTAATATTGCTATTTATTCAGTAAACAGTATTAATTCCATCATGAAATATGTGATTCAAATGAAAATTGGTGAGATTAAATTTCCTTTCGGTTAGAACATCTCAATTGTAAATTAGAAAAGAATACAAGAAACAAAATTTAAAGAATGAAATGAACTTATAGGGTCGAACTTTGTTCTGAACTTACTACACTCACTTTTAATGTCATGAATAAGTTTACCTATTGATATTTATATAAAGATATGAACCGCAACTTCCCTAAGCCAAACATAAAAACAAACTAGATTGCAACATATCTTTAAGAATTATGTTTTAATTCATTTTATATAAAACCATAAATCTTTGTTTTCAATACATATACCAGGTACACTACATCAATTACTTTGATTTAAACAGACAAGCTGAAGTTATTAACGGGCAAAATAACCGCTTAAAGCATAAAACAAAATACTTTATACATGGTTAGTCATCAAGTTGTGAATTGAATCATTTCGTATAAATAAAACACAAATATTATGCTTTTTACACTAAGATTGACAAAAACAATTTTGATATACCTATGTTGTGAGAAATATAGAAATGATCTCGTGTTTCATACATATATTCACGCAGTTTCACTATACAGGGTGAAGTGATTCAAAGAGTACACTAAAAATAAATAACGATCATTTTGACTAACTATTAGGTAAAACATCACTATATGTGCTTCTACATTATTGATATATTCAGACACCCTAAAATACACTTGATGTCGTTCCACTCTTGACAAGAAGTTGATCCAACTGCACCACGTTATGTTGACGAAATCATCTCGCTTATATCAAGCGAAGAAAGTTATATAGTGAGAAAATATCATGTTAAATTGTAAAACTATAATGTTTTTATAGTCTTAAACA